CTTTTATGCGCGTTGGCTCTTACGCTTTGGGTCAATGCGACTTCTAATATAGGCTTTATTTTTCCCTCGTTAAGGATTTTTGAGATTGCGTTTGCCTGACTCTTCGACGGTTTGATAAAAACCTCGATTGTGAGCCGTTATATGGAGATGATCGAGCACCTCGGGAGGTTTGGCTTGGAGGCTGAGTATCTCGAAGCCTGTAATTTGGAGCTGACATGGTCGAAGCTCTTTTGCCTATGTCGAGGGTAGCCTGTTTAACCGGTTCTTTTCGAAGTTGATTCAAAGTAATTGAAGGCCTGTGATTTTGTAGCAACGGTCGGGTGACCCGAATCGCGTTAGTTTGGCTGGTACAACCTTGTGACCATAGTCATTTGTGTTTGGCCGGAGCCATTTTTAGTCCCGAGTGAAGTGGTTTCGGCATCTATATCGAGGGTATGCCTTTTAGGGGTCTTACAAGTTCGATATATAGCCTTAACTTTGAGATCGGGTTTATGCCTTTAGTAAGGTCTTACAAGTTTTACATGCCTTTTGAGGTCTTACAGATTTTGATACTTGGTACAAGTATGGTTCATGCCTTGCTCGAGGTCTTACAGATATTATCACTTGGTACAAGTGTGGTTCATGCCTTGCCTGAGGTCTTACAGATATTGTCAGTTGGTATAAGTGTGGTTCATGCCTTGCTTGAGGTCTTACAGATATTGTTGTTGCCTTATGTAGGTCTTACGAGACCGAGGCTGCCCGCTTGGGGTCTTATGGCCTCGGGTTTTTTGGTAAGTGGCGATTGGCGACAGTCCCCGAGTCATCGAGGGTACCTTGGTTCAGGAGCCATTACTTGTAAACTTGATATTACCTCATTGAGGGCTTACGATTTCGCAGTTTCCGATACGGAGGCCGTGCGATTTTTGAGATTTTGACGCCAGTCCCCGAGTGTTCGGGGCGCTTTTGGCTTTGGAGACATTTTGTGACTTTGATGTTGCCTCATTGAGGGCTTATGAGTTTGGAGCTCCGACCCGGAGGTCATTCAGGCAGTCCCCGAGTCACCGAGGATTTCTCGGCTCGGGAGCCATCACTTGTAAACTTGGTATTGCCTCATTGAGGGCTTTACGATTTCAGGGCTTCCGACCCAGAGGTCATGTGGGCTTGAGTTTTTGACGCCCGTCCCCAAGTATTCGGGACATTTTTGATAGAGGAGCCGCTTTTACAGAAATGTCGAGTTTCTTTTGAAGCGTGAAATGCTTTGATGGAAAGTATTCTTCGATTACTTGGTACAAGTATACATGTTTTCGCTGCCAGGGGCCTGGCTATTCTATACGGACACGGTTCGTTCGACCATTTGGCCGGTACATCATTTTCCTATCGAGACCCCATTTGGCGTATCTTGGGTTTCCCGGGTAGGTGACCCTTCGGGGGGATGCCCCCCAGTATTCGAGGTTGATTAGAAGGAAGCCTTGAATACTTTGTTGAGTCCTTCTTAGGTAGCATATAGATGTTGCCTTGTTAAAAACCTTGCCGGTGAAACCCTTCTAGGGACAAAATCCGGTCGAAGGAAAAGAGTGCAACGCATGCTCGAGGGTGTTTCAGAATTTTCAATCGGACACCTAGCAGTAGTATCGTTTCAGCATTGATATATTCCAGTTGCTTGGAAGCTGTTCACCTTCCATGGTACCGAGCTTGTAGGACCCTTTGCCGATTACTCCGAGGACGCGGTACGGTCCTTCCCAATTTTGGCTTAGCTTTCCTTCATTAGGGTTACCGGTGTTGAGGGTTACTTTTCTTAGGACCAAGTCCCAGACTCCGAGATGTCGGAGCTTTGTTCTCTTGTTATAGTACCTTTCGATCCTTTGCTTTTGGGCGGCCATTCGGATTAGCAAGGCTTCTTGCTTTTCATCCAATAGTTTGAGGGCAGTAGTCATGGCCTCATTGTTCGAGCTCTCAGTGGTGTGTCGGAATCTGGCGCTAGGTTCCCTGACCTCCACTGGTATCAAAGCCTCGGCACCAGATATTAGGGAGAAAGGTGTTTCCCCTGTGCTCGATTTTGGAGTTGTTCGGTACGCCCATAGTACTTCGGGCAATATTTCTCTCCATCTTTCCTTAGCGCTTTCCAGCTTCTTTTTTAAGTTTTGGATGATGATTTTGTTCGTTGACTCGGCTTGGCCGTTTGCACACAGGTGGTAGGGTGTCGACAGGATTCTTTTGATTTTGTGATCCTCGAGGAACTGTGTTACTTTGCTTCCGATGAACTGCCTCCCATTATCACATGTTATCTCGGAAGGAATCCCGAATCGGCACATAATGTGGTCCCAGATGAAATCAATGACTTCTTTTTCTCTTATTTTTTCGAAGGACTCCGCTTCCACCCATTTTGAAAAATAGTCAGTCATAAACAAAACAAATTTAGCTTTACCTGGTGCCGTTGGTAGAGTCCGACGATGTCCATTCCCCATTTCATGAACGGCCATGGTGATAAGATTGAATGTAGTTGTTCGCCGGGTTGGTGAATCATAGGGGCGAATCTCTGGCATTTGTCGCACTTTCGGACGAATTCCTTAGTGTCTTTTTCCATGTTGTCCCAATAGTAGCCTGCCCCGATTATTTTTTGAATTAAGGAATCGGCACTGGAGTGATTTCCGTAGGTCCCCTCGTGGATCTCCCGGAGCACATAATTGGTATCTCCTGGCCTCAGGCATACAACTAGAGGGCCATCAAAGGTTCTCCTGTAAAGAGTTCCGCTTTCATTAAGCGAGAATCGGGCTGCTTTGGTACGCAGGGCCCTCGATTCTTTCGGATTCGTGGGTAGTTTCCCATCTTTTAGGTAGTCAATATATTTGTTTCTCCAGTCCCATGTCAGGCTAGTGGAGTTAATCTCGGCATGACCTTCCCCGACCACTGATTTGGATAGCTGAACAACAGCCCCGGGGAGTAGGTCGTCCTCTCCGACGGATGATCCCGGGTTAGCGAAGGCATCAGCCTTGCTATTCTGCTCTCGGGGTATATGGACAAGGGTCCATTCCTTGAAACGGCGTAACGTGATTTGGATTATGTCCAAGTATCTTTGCATCCTGTCTTCTCGGACCTCAAATCTCCCATTTACCTTATTTACTACCAGGAGTGAATCGCATTTTGCCTCGACGATCTCAGCTCCCAGGCTTTTGGCCAATTCCAGACCTGCAATCATAGCCTCATACTCGGCTTCGTTGTTAGTCAACCTTGCAGTTTTTATAGATTGCCTGATCATGCCGCCTGTGGGTGGCTTCAAGACTATACCGAGTCCGGATCCTTTAACGTTCGAGGCGCCATCGATGAACAGGGTCCACACCCCGGAAGATGTGCCTGCCTTTAGTAAGTGCACCTTTTCTACTTCGGGCACGAGGAAGGGTGAGAAGTCAGCCACGAAGTCCGCCAGAATTTGGGACTTGATGCTGTTCGGGGTTGATACTCGATATCATATCCCCCGAGTTCGATGGCCCATTTGGCCAATCGGCCAGATAATTCGGGCTTGTGCAATATTCTACGGAGAGGGTACCTTGTTAAAACGCAAATATGGTGGCACTGAAAATAAGGTTTCAATTTTTGCGATGCGCTTATTAGCGCAAGAGCTAATTTTTCCAGGTGCGGATACCTGGTTTCGGCATCCCCCAGGGTCCGACTTACATAATAGATAGGAAATTGCGTACCTTGCTCTTCTCGAACCAGCACACCGCTTTCCGCTATCTCAGATACGGCCAAGTATAAATACATCGTTTCATCCTCTTTTGGCGTGTGGAGCAAAGGCGGGCTAGTCAGATATCGCTTCAATTCTTCTAAGGCATGTTGGCATTCTGGAGTCCATTCAAAGTTGCTTTTCTTTTTGAGTAAAGAGAACAAATGATGGCTTCTGTCCGATGACCTCGATATGAGCCTGCCTAGAGCCGCTATTCGTCCTGTCAGCCGTTGTACTACTTTTACATTATTTATCACCGTGATTTCTTCGATGGCCTTGATTTATTGGGGTTGATCTCGATTCCCCTGTTGGACACCATGAAGCCTAAGAATTTGCCTGAACCCACTCCGAAGGCACATTTCTCGGGATTAAGCTTCATGTTGTAACTTCTGAAGATGTTGAATGTTTCCTGCAAATGAGTCAAATGGTCCTCTGCACGCAGGGACTTAACTAGCATGTCATCAATATAAACTTCCATGGATTTGCCTATTTGATGCTCGAACATTTTATTAACTAGACGTTGGTATGTGGCCCCTGCGTTTTTCAGCCCGAAGGGCATTACATTGTAACAGTAGGTACCATACTTCGTGATGAACGAAGTCTTTTCCCTATCCTCGGGGTTCATCTGAATTTGATTATACCCCGAGTAGGCGTCAAGAAAGGTGAGGGTTTCGTGGCCGACCGTGGCATCGATCAAGCAATCGATGTTGTGCAATGGGAATGAATACTTGGGGCATGCCTTATTCAAGTCTTTATAATCTACACACATTCTTAACTTATTTCCCTTTTTGGGCACTACTACTACGTTGGCCAGCCATTCGGGGTACTTTACATCTATAATAGACCCTATTTTAAGGAGTTTCGTTACCTCGTCCTTGATGAACGCGTGTTTTATTTCGGACTGGGGTCTTCTTTTTTGCTTCACCGGTTTAAACCTGGGGTCGATACTTAACCGGTGGGTAGTTATTTCCGGCGGTATTTCTGTCATATCTAAGTGGGACCAAGCGAAATAGTCGATGTTATTAATGAGGAATTGAATGAGTTTTTTCCTGAGTTTGGGGGTTAATCCCCTTCCCAAGTATACCTTCCAATCTGGGAGATGCTCGATCAAAACAACTTGCTCTACCTCTTCAATTGTCGATTTCGTTGCATCCGACTCTTCGGGGGCAAAGAAAGTTCGAGGAGCGAGGATATCTTCTTCATCATCTTCGGGTGTTTGTACTTTTCCAGACTCATCCGGGGTAGAGCATATAGGATTCGGCGCCTCCTGGTAAACCGCTAACATTTCTTTTGCCGCATGCTATTCTCCATATATTGTCGTTATACCATCCTTTGTTGGGAACTTCATCATCTGGTGTAGAGTTGATGGCACTGCCCTTATGCTATGTATCCACGGCCTGCCAAGCAATGCGTTGTACCTCATGTCACCACCGATGACGTGGAACTTGGTGTTCTGAACTGTATCGGACATGTCAACCGAGAGGGAGATCTCCCCTTTTGTTATTTCACCGACCATATTGAAGCCATGGAGGACCCGGGAGGCTGGTATGATCTGATCAAGCAGCCCGAGCTGTTCTACTACCCTTGACCTGATTACGTTGGCTGAGCTGCCTGGGTCCACGTGCACACGTTTAATTCAAACGTTATTTAAAAGAAATGAAATAACCAATGGTCGTTGTATGGCTGTGTTAAGGTCCCGAAATCTTCCTCGTTGAATGCAAGGGTGTCTTCGGTCATGCAGTCTCGGATCGACCCTTCTATTCCAGCAGATATTTTTATCCGTTTGATCACGGGTCCTTGGGGAATGTCGGTCCCCCCGATGATCATATGAATGACATGCTGAGGAATCTCTCTGAGCCCGTGTTGGATTTTTCCGGATTTTCTGCTGAATCTCTCGGCGTGCTCCCTTGCTAATTTGAGGACCGTCGTTACCGTGTTGGGTGTTGTATGAGGTCGTAAACTCGGGAATTGGTTCCGGCGTACTCTCAGGGTTTTGCGGTGGTACACCAACACCTTGAACATTCACACCGTTCTCTCCATGGTCCTCAAGATTGTTGTTTTCACCTCCATTTACTGAGTTAGATATTTTGACCTGAAATCGAATATATTGGACAAGAAAAAGCGTGAAAGATTACTTGCGTTACGTGGTTAAGCCAGTAAGAAAATAATCACTATTATTTTTAGCCCCACGGTGGGCGCCAAACCGTTTGCCGTGAAAATGGTTATAACAATTAAATTTGATTATGAGGTTCTAAAAATACGTTGATCTATTTATATGCTAGTTGCTAAGCGATGGATGCTAAGTAAAAGGTAAGAAATCAGGATTATGGCTTAGAAATGGCAAGATAATTGAACCAAACGGTGGCAGATTGGAGGCCTCGAGCTGTCGATTACAGGACCTTGGGGTTGAGCTGGGTGGCCGATTCGGGGCAGTCGAGGGGAAGATAACAGTTATAAGAGCTATGATGATGGCTCTTTTATGATCAATGATAGGTAATAAATGAAGAAAATAAATAGAACACAATGAATGTAAGCAATAAATGAAGTAATGAACTCAAGAGAATATGTTAGAGAGAATGTTCGTGTATTTCTTAGTATTGAGCAACCGCATTTACAAAGTGGCAAGGACCCCCTTTATATATGAGGGGAAACCCCAACATAGTACAAATACTTTATTACAAAGATATGGAGATAGGACAGCTAGCTGACGCTATTATTCAGGTCTGAACTTAGCCCACCAGACATTGTGAGCTCTGGTTATGTGTCTTGGGAACTCCCCACTTTTTCATCACAACCGTTGGTCTGCACTGCCCCGAGGTCGAGCGTCGATAGCCCTCGAGGCTGAACCTCGACCATAATCTCGAACCCACGAAATGTGTCGACGAGCCGTCGCAACGATAGAAAATTAGACCCTCCGATTTTACTGCATACACACACCTTTCATTTCATGCACTTGTTTTGGCCGTTGAACTTGTTGAAGCTGAGCTTTAGCCAATTGGTTCATGGTAGTTGTCAATTCGGATATGACTTATCCATGATCGTGTAGCTCCTTGTGCAAGTGAATAACATTAGGGTCATCTTGCGGAACATTGGCTCTACTTTGCCATGCCGAAGAGGTATCCGCCATCTCATCAAGAATTTCACAAGCTTCGGCATATGGCGTGTTCATGAAGTTCCCCATGGCGAGTTGGTTAACCACACATTGATTAGTTGTGTTGATCTCTCTGTAGAGGGTCTGTTGGATCATGGCCTCAGTCATATCATTGTTCGGGCACTCTTTAACCATGGTACGATATCTTTCCCAAATCTCGTGCAATGGCTCATTAGGTTCTTGCTTGAAAGCAAGAATCTCATCCCGAAGCGTCGCCATATGTCCCGAAAAGTAGAATTTGGAAATGAATTTCTCTACCAACTTATCCCAAGTGTGGATGGAATGATTGGGCAACCTCTCTAACTAGTCCAATGCTTTTCCCCGTAGAGAAAAAGGATATACCCTCAACCTCAGCGCGTCCTCAGAAACATTTGCTTGCTTACTCCCCCAACAAGTATCGACGAACCCCTTGATATGCTTGTAGGCATTTGGATTCAGAGCCCAAGTGAAGAATCCCCGTTGCTCAAGTAGTGTAAGCATCACGTTGGTGATTTGGAAGTTGCCCGCCCTATTGCGGGGCGGGACTATAGCACTTGCATAACCCTCATTTGGTAATTATCGGTGGGCTATCGCTCTTGGTGGAGGTGGGGGAGGGACGGGCACATTATCGTGTGGCGGGCGGCCTCGTCTATTAGCTTGAGGTTCAAGAGGGACCTCATCCATGGCATCATCGTCCACTTCCTCTCCCAATGGCACATTTTCGATGGGCTCGTTGTTAAGAGCCATTTTCGTACCTAAAATCAATTCAAAAACAAAATTAGTGACTCGGAAGAAAAAGAAGACAAAGCACACAAAAATCTAGATATATAGCTAAATTCGTTTAACTCCCGGCAACGACGCCAAAAATTGATCTCGCCCAAATTCACACCACGATTATAGGTAGTGAGGCGATCGAAGCAATAATAAAACCCAACGCGAGTCGGGGTCGATTCCTTAGGGAGTTAGAAATGGGATTAGGTATACACCTAATGCAATTGTATATTGTGCCTCAATTTGCACTTCCACATTCTTATTGGTTGTTTTTATTTGTACTTTAGCTATTGATTGCAAGTAATAAGCTAGAAGACAATATTTTTGGTTTTGGTTGCTTTTTCAAATGATAAAGGATCTAGGGTCGTCACCTCCTCCTAGGCAGCTACCTAACAGGTTGTAAACTATAGGTCAAGTTTGATTAATCGGGATCGTAATATAGCAATCACACGTAATTGCTCACTCTATACCTCTCGGTTGTTTGAGTGATTTTGCCCAATTTGGCTTTCTCAAGCCCAAATGGGTATTGCACAAATCAAGTGATATATGCTCAAGTCGGGTCTTACTATCTCTAGATTTGACCCTTTAATTGGGGCTATCAATTTCTTGAGTTTACCCTAATTCCTTGTTAGCCAAGTTTTCCTAAACTTAGTCTTTCTTTCTCAAGTAAAGACTAGGTCAAATAGGCGTGAATCAATATTTGCAACCATTAATTCTAGAATTCAAGCATAAACAAGGCTAAATACCACTAACCCAATCACAAACAAGCCCTAAAATTAAATACCCATTGAGTACCCACACTAGGGTTGAGCCACAACTCTAGCTAATGATTTAGCTACTCATGAAAAATAAAGAAATACAAGAAGAAATTAAGATAGAATGCCTAATAACTGATTAGATAAGGAAAATCTAATGTTTAGAACTTAATCTAGTACAAATTTACTCAAAGAAGTAAAGAAAATGGCTCAGGTGCACCTCTGCAAACTGAACTTGACCTAAAATGACAAAAAGTTGTATTTATACTAAGCTGAAAATATCTGACAAAAATACCCCTGCGAAGGTTGTGCGGCCGCATAATTCTGGTGCGGTCCGCACAATGGGCTTCTGCCTCCGCACAATTCTCGTGCGGTTCGCATTATTGGGAATTTTGGCTTGGAACTTCAGGGCTTCTGCGGCCAGCATGAAAATGAGTGCGGCCGCATTTCTGATTATGCGGCCGCACAAAAGTGATGCAGTCCGCACTCTCTGCTTTTGGAATTGAAACAGCTCTCTGATTCTTCAAACCTGCGGACCGCATAATAATGACTGCGGCCGCACTAGACTTCCTACGGCCGCACAATTTCAGTGCCGTCCGTACTCCTTGAGCTGGCCCAAACACTACTCTCTAAATCTCCCTTCTGCGGCCGCACTGCTAGCGTTTTTGCCCTATTTTGGTTTTTATTCACTTTTGACTCCTCTATGAATTGATTTTGACTTCTTTGGCTCGTTTCTCAATATTCCTACATGTAAACACATCTCGTGGGATTACCTTTAAGCATTTTTGAGCTAAAACGCAAGTAAAAGAGAAAAAATAAGCGGTCAAAATCCCTACTTATCAATGAGCCCATGGTCCAACAATCAGACATATTATGAGTTATCTCCTATCCTGATTTTTTCTTTGTCAATGCATTTATTATTTTCTTTCAAGTACCTATACTTTCTTAGTTTTATATATTTATCGATCTTATTATTATAAGACAAAACTTCAGCGCAAAATGTTGATAGATATTTTTACCTTTTAAATTAATTTTCCATTTATTAAAAATTTTCATTTAATTTGTTTTAATATTTAAAACAGTAAAATCAACTAATACTTATAGTTCAAAATGTAGTGTTGTATTCTACTTTTATAATGATAATTTATTCTTTTTTAATCTAACGGAAACGCAATGGTAATTTATTCTTTTTAATTTGATGAAAACAATTCGTAAAGTATTTCTTATATTTGATTAAAAAAATAGAACAACTTGAATTTTGCTTGTTAGAAAGAAAAAACTATCTTAATATTTATGTGATTCAAAAATAGCTTTTCGAAAGAGATTCAAAAAGCTTTTAAATCTTCAAAGGCTATGTATTCTTGCTCTTAATATTTATGTGATTTTTTAAAAATAATTTACACAATAAAATAGATGCACGTGAAAACAAGATTCCTGAAAATCCCCCTCGTTGTAGTGATCTAAAGATATAAATTACTACTATTTCTACCGTGTAAACACGTATATATTCAACCATTATGTTCAATCATTTGGGAATTATGGACATGAAATAACTAACCAAGCATTATGGCATCAGATGTGTGATTTGCCTGTGTGTATGTATTATGTGTGTATTGATAATTTGTGGCAATGCCACATATAAAAATGCATGTAGTAGAAATATTCTGTTGAGTGTCTTAATTTTCTAGGATAATTACTCTTTGTTTCATTCAAAATCTGTTAAAGAAAGAGTAATTAACCTAAAAAATTAAGACAATTAATTAATTCTAAAAACCATGGTAGAATCAGTGGTTATCAACCAAAAGGTCTCTTTGTAGTTCAAAGTAGAGCAAAGAAAAATGACAGAGAATAAAGTAATGATGACAATAGCAATGATCATCTTTATAGTTATGATGTTTAAATCAGACGCACCCATAGATTTGCACACCAACGAAAAACTCAACCATTTTCTAAGGCTGAACCAAAGATACCAAATACATCCATGGGAGGCCTTGGAAATGTAGCAATGTGCCAAGATGTGGCAGCGCTATTTGATGATTGTCAGAATTACATGGATGACTTAGCTGCAAATCCATCTATGGTTTGTTGTGCCAATCTACAGACCATGAATAACAAAGCTCAGGCAGAGGAAAAAAGGCAGAAATATATTGCTCATGCATTGAGTTTTTCAGCAGCAACCATGAACATCCCCCTTATCTTAGCTCAAGGATTAAAGGGCTGAACATCATCTAAGCTTCCCCATTGTCACACCTCTTTTTATCCCGAGGGGATATGAGTTTTTCCAATTAAAGTGATATTAATCGAAATGAGATTATTTATTTTATTCAGAGTCGCCACTTGGGATAGTCTATTTGGTGTCCCAAGTCACCAGTTTATTTTTTTAAATCCCAAATCGAGGAAATTCAACTTTTAGTTTTAAAGTCTGCGAACCAGAAATTCTAGATAAGGAATTCTGTTAACCCGGGAGAAGGTGTTAGGCATTCCCGAATTCCGTGGTTCTAGCACGGTCGCTTAATGACTATTACTGGGCTTAAAAATGTCCGATTACTTATTTTAGGACGTATGTGCATTTATCTATTAACCGCTTTTAATCACTTGAATTATTCGTAAGTAAAGAAACGAGTTACGCGTACGTATACTCATTTCCTTTGGCGCGTCAAAAATCATGTCACGCGAACGTGTCCAATTTTAATAACGCTTTGTTTATTTTATTAAGAAAAGTTTGGTTGAAGTTGCGCGAACACATCCCTCGAGTCTTTTTAAAGTTAAATTTACAATTATATTACGCGAACGTATACATAATCGCAACACTAATCTAAATCGGGCCTAAAGCAAACTATGATATTAAAGAGTTATTTTTCTTAACTATTTCGGATTTGATAGTGAGGAAGTACAACATTCAACTATTATCGTCTATTATCTTAAACAAAACATCATTCATGAAATGGCCAAATGAAATAATTTATTCAAAATAAGGAAAGATATTGTTAATAACGAGCATCTAAGTATCTTTTCAATGCTAAAAGAAAAGCATCCATAAGTCACCTCTTCTGAAACTAAAAATCTAAAACAAAATCCATTAAAAAAGTATTATGAATCCCAATTCTCATATAAAAAACGTTGTAAGAGATTTAATAAAAATAGTTTGACTACTCGACGTAGTTTCATATTTTGAATGCCAGTGAAGCTGTTCCAAACAAATCCGCCGGACAACTCGGCGAAAAAAAAATGTAGCTAAGCATGGAATTATCGGATAACTAACGAAGCCCTTAATTCTAAATTAGAAACTAAGTATTTCATATGAAAATTATATTTAAATTACTTGCAGGTTTTAATCACATTGAAAATTAATAAAGATCAACTGTATTATATACTGATGGCAGGAATCAAAAACTGAAAAATTCACATAAATGAAACCAAATGTCGAAAGTACTAAATATTCAAATAAAGACATGATACAAAGGCATCTGAAATTGAATCTTTAAAAAACAATCGTCTTGTTCTGAGTGTAATCAAATAAAGAGAAGAAAAGTGGAGAGAGAACCTGTTTGGCCGGAACTCTTCTCAGTAATTGAATATGGAAAACTCGGCTACAATGGGAACTCGGATCAGACAGTAGCTCGGACGGGACCTCAAACGAAAACTTCTCCGGCCACCTCGTCCAGATCGGAACAGTAGACCGGGACTCGCACGAACCAAAATCTTCGTCGGAGAAACACGAGTTTCACCGGTAGAGGAAGCCGAAAACAATTTTCAAAAAAAAAGGAAAAAGTGTTGGTTGAATTTAGCTATGGATTCGAACTGTTCTTAGCAAAGACCCAAATATATTTGCTGAAATTTGATTACAAATCCGTCTCTAAAAAATAAAAATCCATGACTTAACAATGGATATTTATTTGAAAACCAGGAGAAAATCAAAATCAAAGTGGGAAGGCTCTGTTCTTGATTGAAAACGATGGATCCTTTTGGTAAGTCTCTAGGCTAATTTTTGTGAAATCTTTTTTTTTATTTTTTTTTATGTACCTCATCCCTCAACTTAACTTATAGTAATCTTTATAAAGAGATCTGGGTGGTTTTTTGGAGTGGGGAACGTGGAATTGAGGTTAGGTAGAAAAATAGGAACGTAAGGGTGTGGGAGAAGTGGGGAAAGGAACGTGAGGAGTTAGGATTTGTGGGGTATGAGACGTGAAAAGTGGGGTGAGGGAGTTAGGCTAGAAAATGGAATTCTGAGATGATTGAATTTTTTTTTTTTTTGAGATAAAAATT